TCACAGTCTGCTCCTTGTAAGTCCCAGGCCTTCTTCTCAGGCCCTGGCTGTGCTGTAGGGATGCTGTGGGTTGGACGCTTGCTCTGGTGGTGGCCACATGCTCACAGGCTCTAAGTGGTAGGACCCGTCTACCCAGTGTCGCCCCCAGCCCTGTCGGGGTTACGATCCAAGCCTGGCCTGCAGAGCCGCTTGGCTGAGGCGTCTCCCTGTGCTGGGCCCGCTGCCCAGGGTCCCCCTCGGTCTCCCCAGCTGCTCACCGCACCCAGCTCCGGACTGCTCCAGCCCCAGCTCCACCACTCGGTCTCTGCTGCTCTGCCTCCCGCTCCCTGGGCTGCTTCTTTGGCCCCTCTGGCTCTGGTTGCTGCAGCTCTGCTCCCAGGACAGGTCTGCTCTCTCGGGGCTGCTTTTCTGGTCCCTCTGGATCTGGCCCAGCTCAGCTCCCCAGCTCAGCTTGGGGCCCTGCTTTCTCCTTAGCTCAGCCCCACTCTGTCTGACCCAGGCAAGTCCAGCTCACACGGAGGACGGGACCTCCCTGGCCTCCTGACTCCCTGATTAGCCTGCCCGCCCTGTCATTCAGGCTGATCTGGAGCATTGGCCTCTCCCCACTGTTCCTGGGGGCTGTCAGTCTCACGGTCCTGAGTCCCCATTGACCCTTCCCCCTTTTTACTACTGGGAGCTAGTAACTAAAACACCCACACTGAATGTTAGTAAGGGGGCAACAGTCCCCTTACACATGTACATAATGTTGACTGGCAATGGCTAGCTCACAGACAGGATAACTGACCTACTACGAGGAGCAGTTAGGGGAGATCTTCTTTGATTCAAGTGTCAGAGGCCTGTGCGTTGGAAACAATGGCCAAGGTTCTAGTCCCAGATCCACGGGGTGTTTGTGATTTGTATAACTGCGTCTTATCTGCTGCTCATAACAGCAGCTGCATCAACACGGTCAGGAGTGTAAGAAGACAGCCACTCCTCCTGCTTGTCACACAGCTGTCCTGACTTTTCAGATTTTTCCCCACAGAAACTGCAGGACTGAGCAAGGCTAAGGCGATGCTGGTTGGGAAGACACAAGCCTCTCCACCATCGAAGACACCTGCCCCACACCCCTGCAGTCAGTCTCCATGCCTGGGGAGAGACAGTGGAGAAAAATGCTTTCTTCTATCGCCAGCTTGTTCTTCCTGGAGGAGGACTTGGTCCCAGTGCGCCCTTTGTTTGTTATCACCTCCTAGCTGGATTGTGATAACTCTGTCTGGGGCTAAAGGTGGAAGCAACCCAGAGGATGCAACTTATGCAGAATATAATGTCCGACCTCCTCAGCATGCTGGGCCTCCTTCAGTGCATCACCAATGTGTCCCCTTCCCAGTCCTCTTCTGTTGCTAATTTAAGCCCTTGGTCCAAACTTTCAAAGCTATCAACAGCTACTCCAGCAACCACATCTCCTCCCATGGCAGCTGCTCTCTTCAGCGACAGTGCAGCTCACAAAGTCTAGGACAAAGCGTGTGAGAGCCTGAGACAAAGTACTCTTGGGGCGGGGGGGGCTCAGCTGCAGAGCGAGCTGCTGGAGAGATCAGAATGACCCAAAGAGTGATGGCATTTAGAACATGCTGCAGGAGCCTCCCTTCTGACCAAGCTTAAGAACACAAGAACGGCCATATTGGGTCAGACCAATGGTCCGTCTAACCCAGTGTCCTGTCCTCCGACAGTGGCCAATGCCAGGTGCCCCGGAGGGAATGAACAGAACAGGGAATCATCAAGTGATCCATCCCATGTCACCCATTACCAGCTTCTAGCAAACAGAGGCTAGGGACACCATCCCTGCCCATCCTGACTAATAGCCATTGATGGACCTATCCTCCACGAATTTATCTATTTCGTTTTTGAACCCTGTTATAGCCTTGGCCTTCCCAACATCTTCTGGCAAGGAGTTCCACAGCTTCTGCACCTCAGCAGGAAGCAGATCTACCTACAACATATGCATACGCACATCACTTACCACGACAGGGCCCCGATCCTGGTTGATCTTGGGGTCATAGTGGATCACAAGCTAAATATGAGTCAACAGTGTCACACTGTTGCCAAAAAAGCAAACATTATTCTGGGATGTATTAGCAGGAGTGTTGTAATCAAGACACAAGAAGTAATTCTTCCGCTCTACTCTGCGCTGATTATACTTTAAATGGAGTATTGTGTCCAGTTCTGGGTGTTGCATTTCAGGAAAGATGTGGACAAATTGGAGAAAGTCCAGAGAAGAACAATAAAAATGATTAAAGGTCTAGAAAACAACCTATGAGAGAAGTTTGAAAAAAAGGGGGTTTGTTTACTCTGTGGAAGAGAAGACAGAGAGGACATAACAGTTTTCAAGTACATAAAAGGTTGGTACAAGGAGGAGGAAGAAAAATGGTTCTCATTAACCCAATGGGTTTAAATTGCAGCAAGGGCAGTTTAGGTTGGACATTAGGAAAAACTTCCTAACTGTCAGGGTGGTTAAGCAATGGAATAAATTGCCTAGGGAGGTTGTGGAATCTTCATCATTGAAGATTTTTAAGAGCAGGTTAGACAAACACCTGTCAGGGATGGTCTAGAGATAATTAGTCCTGCCATGAGTGCACGGGACTGGACTAGACGACCACGCAAGGTCCCTTCCAGTCCTGTGCTTCTATAATGACTCTAGATGCTACTGTACTACAAACAGTAAGGCGAAGAGCAGAGCCCTCTTTGAAGTTCACTACAAACCTCGCTATGTGGATTTCCAGATGCAGCGTTAAGATACAGCAGCCGTGGGAGCAACAGAAAGCCCTAAAGCGGATGGAACCGACCACCTTGTTCTGAAGTGCGGCTGGAGGCTGGTCCAGCCTCGGCCTATGGCAATGCTGTCACAACATCACAATGCTGTGTCTCTTAATAGATGTCGTTTCTTTTGGGATATGTAAGGGTGAAGCAGAGACCTGGGAAACCGCGGGTGTGCAGACACGGTATTAGGGAGCAGAGCCATGAGCAGGCACCGCTTCTGCATTTGGTAAAGTGCAGGTACCCCTGATAAAGTGCTACCCCTCTGCCTTCCCTTCCCCTTGTTAAGGATTGATAAGCCTTGCAGCTGCATAAGGAATGTCGGGATCTAAAGGATACCTTTGTGTAAAGCACTGTTTTCTTCCCCCTCCCTTCCTTTCCTAGCTACATGAACAAGCTCGGGGTCAGGGCCCCTTCCTCCCTTCCCTGCAAACTGCTCATCCAGGGCATTTGTGGCTACAATTATTGTAAAGAACTTTTACTTTGAAGATACGTTTATCTGTAGAATATGCTAATGCTGTAATCAGGGGCGGGGATAATTATATTCAGTATATAGCTATTAATATTCATTGTATGGGCGTTCATGTTACTCAATAAGAGGTTTGGGGGTGTTGCAACGATTGTAGATATTTACATACTAACTTAGATAACAGGAGCGTGCTGTAGCTAATCCAGTGCTTACTGGACAATTGGGTCGAGAGGAACAAGTACCGCAATAAAGAAGCCCGTCTACTCAATCCGCCTCTGGGTCAGCCTGCTCATTCTCTAACGGTTTCCCTATGGAAGGCGAGCTCTGGTTCCCACAAACCTGTGGAGAGCAGTGGAGGACGGGGCAGCTCACCCTTCCCTGAAAAGCAAGCTGGGATTGATTAGCATGACAGAACTGTCGTGTCACTGAGAACTGTATACAACAGGCCCTAATTCTAGTTATGTCAAGGCCCATTTATAATGCTGTGGCAGTATAAGGAGGCCTTAAAGTGGGTGGAAACAGCCCCCCCCTCAAAGAATCCCCCCCACATCCTGGTCACTGGCCCTGCTCTCAGGCCCCCAGTATGGTGTGGGGGTCATTGGTGTGGCAGCAGTATGCTGCACTATGGTTATTCTCTGCTTCCCGTGCCTATATGGGGCTGCAGCAAGGAGAGGGAAAGTTACAATAGCTCTTGGGATGCTCTGACTTAGGGCCCTCCCTAGCCCCAAAATACAGGGTGTGCAAAGGTGACTTAAAGCCACCTTACTCCCAACCACAGGAACAATCACGGAGCGTCTGGCGCTGTGAGAGCGACAGAACTGTGCAAACTCCACAGGGTCCTGTCACAAGGGCTCCTGCAGGATGTGATTCAGTTTCCATGTCAGTTTCATTCATCTGTCAGTTTCGTTTTGAGTTTCCCCTGAAAAACCACACTTGCCTCCAGGCTGGCCCACCTGTCACCGGAAGGTCTGGGGAACAGCAAAGCCTTCCAGTCTCAGCTGGGTAATAATAATAAACACTTGGGCTGAGCTGAGGTTGGCCCACCCCCACTCGTCCACTCATCCACTGGGCCGTCCCTGCACAAACTCCCTCCAGATCACGGCTAAAACCCCTCAGAGCCAGGGATGAGAAAGGCCCATCAGATCTCTGCTGCGCCCTACAGCTCAGTGTATTCTCCTGTCCTCCCTCCAGTCTGGTCTCCGAAGCCCCAAGCAATGGTGCTTCCACCATTTCCCCTGGGACACAGCTCCACAGCCTAGCACAGCTCACAGTCAAGCTGCTTTTCCAGATAGTTCAACATTTTCCTGTTCTTACTGGTGTAAGATCTAACACCAAGGTACCAGTGCTAACAACAATCTCCTGCCCAGCAAACACACTGTTCTTCCAGACAGCAGATGGAAACTCCTGTGGTTTTTTCCTTTAACCCCTTCACCTCTGAATTTTTTTTGCAACTCCATAAAGGACACACAGCATTTGCTGTTCTTAAGCGCAATGTTTCACTGACACACCACACTCTGGGGCTGGAGGGAGAAAGGGCATGGAAAGGGCACTGCCTGCACCAGGCAAAACTATGGGGTATCTTATTGCTTCTCACATGCCTAGACCAGACAAACATTACTCAACGGGAGAGAGCAACCCTTAAGGTGCAAAGCAAGCAAAAAAAGGGGTTAAGTCCTTTCTCCCGTCACTTGCCTTCCCACATCCCCTGCCATGTGCTGGCAAGCAGCTGCAACTCCCCCCCTACCTGTCATTGCTGCTCTCGAGAGCCGGGTTCACGCTGCAAGACCGGTCCCAAAGCTCAGTCCAGCCTAGGCAGGGAGGGAATCCCTGAGGGTGTCCTCTTTCCCCGTAGGCTGGCTGGCAAGTCCCAAGAAAGCCACCGACGCCGCTGTTCCCGCTGCCCCACGATCCGTCAGGGAGAGAGAGCCCGTCTTTGAAGAGTCAGCCGCAGCAAAACAAGAGCTAGAAATGTTTAGTTAAGTTACTTTGTGCGTCGGCTGCCTCCTTCCTTTCCCAAGTCACGCAGACAGCCCCAGCTGCTCAGTTTCCTTTTTAAACAGGAGCGGTGAGTAATAAGCCCGGCCCGACGCACAGCCTGAGCCTCGGTGGGAGCAAAGAGAACAGTGACTTTGGGGGAATTGAAGCAGAGATCCCTGAAGGCCCATTTACCAGCAGCGGGCCAATAGAGCCGACAGCTTTCTTGCAGGCACTTTGGACCTCCAGCACGACAGCAGCCTGGAATGATAAAATCCTCATGTGTCCTGACCAGCAGGTGACTGGCATGCAGAGGGAACTGAGTCGGTTAGGAGACGGGGGAAAGGGCCCAGCTCCCTCCTTTGTCAGACAGGTTCCTCCCTGGTCTGGCTGCTCCTTCCTTCCTCCCGCCCTCCACCTGACACTCTCTCACAGCTGTTTCCATGGACACCAGTAGCTGCCACAGAAACAGCAGCAGGGACTTCAGACATCAAGAAATCCACCCCTCCATCTGTCTATTGCTCCTTCCTCCCTGCGGAAGAGAGGTGGCTTCCCAGCAGAGAGCCTCCCACTGAAGTCTGCAAGAGTTTTACCAGCAGACTTCCACAGGAATAGGACTGATTCCCCTACTTTGACTAGCAGTAACAGGGAAGAGGAATGGCCCAGAGAGAGACACACACACCAGCGCTTGAGAAACAGGAACGGGAAGCCTGAAGTTTCTTGGAGGGGAAGTGGGGGTGGACAGATATCAACCGCAACTGGGCTTAGCAGAACAGTCAGGTGGTGCCTGGGAAGTAACTTGGTGTGAGGAAAGTAACAGAACTTTCAACAGGTGGAGAAGTTATTTGTGATTCTTACAGCACTGGGGTCATCAGTGCTATAATAATCAGGGTTGGATACAGTATTAGGAAAAACTATTTCACTAGGGGGTGAAGCACAGCAATGGGTTACCTAGGGAGGTGGTGGAATCTCCATCTTTAGAGGTTTTTAAGGCCCAGCTTGACAAAGCCCTGGCTGGGATGATTTAGTTGGGGTTGGTCCTGCTTTGAGCAGGAGGTTGGACTAGATGAACCCCTGAGGTCTCTTCCAACCCTCATCTTCTATGATTCTATGATTTTTGGAACTATATGGCAACAGTGGGGCTAGACTCAAGGCCAGAAGGGACCATCATGATCATCTGGTCTGACCTACTGCACACTGCAGGCCACAGAATCTCACCCACCCAGTCCTGTGATAGACCTCTAACCTCCGGCTGAGTTACTGAAGTCCTCAAATCATGATTTAAATACTTCAGGTTATAGAGAATCCCCCATTTACACTAGTTTAAACCTGCAAGTGACCTGTGCCGCATGCTGCAGAGGAGGGGAAAAAAAAAAAAGTCCCAGGGTCAGAATCTAAACCCTCTTGTTCCAAAAATGTCCACTATCTTTTGAGCTAGAGGAGAATCCAATCTGTCTGACATGATTAGCTGTTAGGATTCCACCCAGGAGACGGCAGCACACACATCTCTCCTATATATTACACTGTAATAACCCCTATAGTTGAGGTGACAGTCCCCAGATTTCTACAGCAGGGAACAGATGCAGCAAAGGGCCTTCAACTCTGGATCTCTTTTCTCCTAGTCCCACAGACAATAGACCTCAAACTTGTTTGAGTTTTCAGGGCTAGTGCCTCGGGCTTTTGGCTACAAGGAGGTCTCAGGGGCTGGGCAGTTGAGTTTCTTGGTAGACTAGATGAAGTTCTCTTGAATCAGTGCATTCACTGGTATGAGTTGAAGATGCACATGTGTCTAGAAAACGTGACAGCACATTATACAGATTAAATAAATACAATTATACATTGAAGATAATCTAGACATGCAATGATTAGAATGCGCTTCACACATCTCACAACACCCCTGGGAGATAGATCTGTATTAACACCCCAGTTTAGAGCTGGGAAAACTGAGGCACATAGGTATACATCTGACTCACAGCCAGTCAATGTCAGAACTGAGAACAGAACCCAAGAGTCCCGATTCCCAGAGCCCCCTGCTTTCACCGACAGACCCTATTCAGTCCCTCAATTAAGTGGACCTATAGCAAGTTCCTGTGATACCTCAGTGACAGGCTATGGGCCTGTTTAGGGTGTCTTTAGTAGGAATGCAATCACAGGATTGGGGTGCCTGTTTCCACGTGGGATGCCACTACGCACTCTCTTGTGACATTGCACATGGACACAAACAGGAGCCCTCACTGGCTTGTATGTCACAATGGGGCATCATCAGGTCCCAAATGAACTCGGGGTTCACCCATCCCTCAAGCTGCATAAGAACCACCTCCACTTTGGGACATCCCTCTCCTCAGACTTGAGTGCCACATACAAAGGTCAGAGCCCGAGTGCACAAGCTCTGAGAAACCAGAAGAGATGTCCTAATGGGCTAAGCCTTCGCTTTGGAGTCCCTGCATTCCACAGAAGCACAGGCTCAAATCAGCCCAACGCAGCCCTTCATCCATTTGAGGCAGATAAAGCAAGCTCTATGCCATGAACTGCAGGAAGGTCCTTTTGAATGAGACCTTTGAAACCAAGGTTCTGCATGGCCATTAAAGAGTCTATGGTGCTTTCTGCAAGAGCAACATTTGCTCAGTGTTTAAACCTTAAACCCTCTTCTCTCAGGTGTGCTCTGTGCCTGGCTACAGCACTGCACCCCAGAGGTAGCTGCATTTCAGTAGTGCCCTGTGCCGGGGCAAGGCCAGATGGCTATAGAAAAGTAGTGGGATAGATATATTAGCTCCAGGCTAAACAAATCCCTGGTACCAGCTTAAGTGAAATGGAAGCTGCACCAGGTCAATTAAGACACCTGGGGCCAAGTAAGAACTTTCCAGAAGGCAGGGAGAATGCTAGGTTGATTGGGACACCTGAAGCCAATCAGGGGCTGGCTGAAACTAGTTAAAAGCCTCCCAGTCAGTCAGGTGGGGGTGCATGTCAGGAGCTGTGGGAGGAAGTTGTGCTGTTGGAGAGACTGAGCAGTACACACCATATCAGGCACAAGCAAGGAGGCCCTGAGGTAAGGGTGAAGTGGAGCTTGAGGAAGTGAGGGCTGCTGTGGGGGAAGTAGCCCAGGGAATTGTACATGTCATGTTTCTAAAAGGTCAGCTACCATAGCTGATACTATTAGGGTCCCTGGGCTGGAGCCCGGAGTAGAGGGTGGGCCTGGGCTCCCCCCACCTTTGCCCCCGGATTAAGTACTGAGACTGGGAGACAACAGAGACTGTGCAAGGGAGGATAACTTCTCCTCACCTCCCTCGCTGGCTTATGATGAAAATGGCTCAGTAGACTGTGACCCTTGTCTCTAGAGAGAGAAGGGTTACGTGGAGGGTCACAGTGAGCCTCTGAGGCTAGCGAAATCCGCCAGGAAACGCGGGACCCATGGAGGCAAGGACAGAGCTTTGTCACAGTATACAGAGAGAAATCTGATATATGGCATATGTGCTTAATTTAAAGATTATCTGGAACCTCTCAGCTAGCGTCAGTTAAATCTTTATGGGTGCAAAGGAAGAAATTCATCCTTCTTCTCTGATGTGCTTCAGGGGCTAGCAGGTTCCCCAAGGGAACATAGCCCTGGAACAGGGTCCTGGACTTTAAATGTATTTACTGTATACAGTATGCCAGTTTAGCAGTTTCCCTAAATTATTATTTGCATCCTTCTTAAGCCACTCACACAAGGGAAAATGAAACAGAACAGAAAGCCTTCTGTGATTTACAGCTGCAGGCCACAATAATTACATTAAACAGAAGATGTGTCTTCAGTAATGAGCTCTGTAGGGCATGTGCACACTGGACTAGATGCTCAGCTGGGGCATCAGTGTTGCTTTAATGAAGAGAATGGAGTTACACCGCTTTACATCAGCTGCGGCTCTAACTCTACAATCTGTCAATGATTCAGTATCAAAACTGAAGGGAAGAGGGGTTGCAATTATTTTAGAGACAACATCCAGTTTCTATTCACTGTTTCGGTTTGCCCCACTCTCCTTCAGTTTCTCTAACTCCAAAGTGCAATCTATCTGAAACAGACAATAATTCAGGGCTTTGCGTAGTTTTCAATTCAGGGATGGACGGGAGGTCACCCCTCTGCTCTCTCTCTCTCTCTCGTGACAGAACTTTTATCGGAGTACTGGCTGGTTTTATTTCAAACATCCCAAGCGATGGAGCTCAAGTGATCTCAGAAAGTTCCTGCTGGATGCATCTGTACTGACCTCTGTACTTTTCCATAAGCATTTGCCTCACACTAAAAAAGTCCCATCTGGTAAAGACCCTGTGCAGCTGACAAACACCTTTTTGGGAAGAATCTGTTAGCGATTAACACCAGCTATTAATATAGCAGATGCTTTCTTAATTAACATGCTGTGCTCGTTGTATCTGAGAGCCCTCAGCAGGATTGTTAGGATTCCCTCCAACCCAGAGAAAGCCCACTGAAAACTCCCAGTTTAAAACCACGTTGTTGTCGTTTAATGAAACGAGACAGACCTCATGCAATTCACCTTAGGTGCATATTTATTCCATCAGCATAAAAAGGCTCACGTTGACCAAGATGAAAAACTGCTGTTCTGAAAGTGGAACACAATTCTCTAGTCCCCAGTCTTGTATCTAATTAGACTTGCCACACTTTCACATCTGCCTGTGGAAAGTAATACCCTCTTTCCAATTTATTTGCCTTCTCGGCCAGTAGCCTTTTACAAATGTGGACCAAGCCAATCTGAATGTAGTGAAAACACACTCGATGGATACTGAGCTGGGTGGCCAGGAGCACAGGTCTTTAATATTAGACAAAACACTGAATTCAGCTGTCTTGCCTTTTGTCATCTTACTTCCCCAATGTGTTGCAATGAAATGTGATATCGCTTCTTTGCACTCACAGATTTGGAGTTGGAATCCACATCTTCAGTTTCCAGTGTCAGAAGGGAAGGAACGGATTGGGGATTCTGTTCCAGGAGCAATGTCTCAACCTCATCTTCCCCCAATTGCCCTTTGTGACCTCTCTAGATTTCCTTGTTGGGTAAAATGTATGCTATGTTTTGATGCAAGTCCCTTGTGGTCAGTGCCAAATTTCAATACACTGATAGTAGCTGGATGCAAATGCAGAGACCTGCTCTCCCAAAATGTTCTAATGAATGTCATGGGGTATCCATTCTCCTTTCTTCAATCAATCAGCCATGGAGCTGATGGTGGTTTCCTATCAAGTTGGAGACTTCACCTTTCTGTTACTTTTCTGGCTGCACTGCACTCACCACTGAAGGTAGCTAATTTACAGTCTAAGTAGCAAATTGCACCGATCTATCTTTTTCAGCTCTCTCATTTTTCAAAGGTTGCCCAGCCATCATCTTTTATTTCTT